TAATAGTTTCAGAATTAATAAATATGGCAAAATGTTATGAATTCATTTCATTTAGTGATTTCGCCTCAGTTGCTAACAATCACATTTGTATTAAAATATAACATAATGTTGAATAGTAGAGATCAGTAACTGAAAAAATTGGAATAATAACGGTTATCGATATTATTACCAATATTATATATACTAACCAGTACATTCATCTATGATTTTCCATCATCCAATATATATAGTATATAAGAATGTAGGAATGTGTAAGTTAATTTGAAAATAGATATCGAAAGCATACAAAGGATGAGATAGAAATTGTCTGGTATTCAAAAATTGATAAGACTGACTACACAATGTAAAAGTTTTGAAGAGTTCACAGGAGTTGATTAGAAATCATAAATGAATGTACTGGTTAGTATATATAATATTGGTAATGATATCGGTAATTGTTGTCATTCCAATTTCCTCAGTTACTGATCTCTGTTATTCAACGTTATATTATATTTTAATACAAATGTGGGTGTTAGCAACTAAGGAGGAATTAAGAAATAAAATGAATTCATATTAGTTTGCCGTATTTATAGTTCTGGCCTTGTTTTAACAAACTGTTCATTCGTAATTGTGGCATTTTTGAAATGTAATCTTTTGTTGAATTTGGACTTATCAAATATATTCTCAAGGAAAAACTTGGTTTTACTTAATTAATAGAATATTTTACTAGAATCACTGAGTCTCAATCCATCGAACCTGTTTCCGACATCGAAATTGTCGGAAAAAGTGAGTTATGCTAAAGATATGAATGTCTTTACGTGTTATTTTGTACGACTGAATTTTCTGGGGACTTATATTGAAGTAAACATATAATAAGAATGAATTGTTATTCTTTTCATTAGTGTTTGAAATTTGACCTAACTCTAACTCGTTAATCATATTTACAATGCCGTGTTGACCATATATCGCAAATTCATTCGCTTATATGATATTTTCACAGTTGAGAATTTTGTGTAGATTCCTTTTTATTGATTCTTATTATTATTATTATTATTATTATTATTATTATTATTATTATTATTATTATTATTATTATTATTATTAGCTTTATTCAATATTATAATTTTGGTACAATATAGAATTCTCAGCGTAAAGTATTTCAACAAGTTTCCGTTTCTTTCTTCTTGGTCGGTCCTGGCGATAAATATTGAGTGATCGCCAGTTAGATGTTAGCACTTCAGTGAATGAACAACTGAATAATGTACATTCTTTTCGTTGTATATTGCCAGCAACCATATTGTCTCTTATTGAGTTTTCTGTAACTTTGACAACGAAAGGTTGTACACTTTTCAGAAACGCAGCAGAATAGGTTATGCGATTATTAAACATAATGATGTATTAAAACAAACAACAATAGATAACTTGTTGAAATATCTAGATGGCAGGAACAGGTAGCCCAGATGCTCAAGCAGGCCGCCGTGTTATCATTACGTATAACAATTTGATTTTCGTTAAAACCCTTGAAAAGTGTCTAAATAAAATTTTCTTTTCCTGAAATGGATACTCAAACAATTTGGATGTAGTTCTGTTCTCTGAGCTAGATGGTTTGGTCGTGGAGCTTTCACAGTTCTTCTGAACGACATCATCAGCACAAACTTCAGATAGAAGTGAAGTGTTCGACTTTCTCCATATGCGTTTCGCAGCTTGTTCTGTACACCTCGAGGTGTACAGAAATAGGAACTGAATAAACATGACAACTCAGTGACTAGTCTTCTCCTCTTCAGCTTTAACTTCCCTTCATCGCCGTTTTTGTCCGACTCCCAGATTGTTAAGATTTTCCCTTCGTTATGTTGACATAAGCTATGAAGTAACTTGGATTAAAACACAAGTTTGTACTATGTTATCTATTGCCCAACATGGTCATTGAAAGGTGACTATATATCAATCGACAACTCTAATGCTAAACTTTCGGTCGTCTGGTCACCTATCGTTACCAGAACTTTCGTTTAAAATTACTGACTACATAAGACGAACTTGCCTTCAGGTAGATGTTTGCATAGTGGAGGGTCTGTTAATTAACAATTTCAAGCCTGGAATTAATGTTCATTAACAGTATAATCAATCCTTTAATTTACTATGGTCTTAACACCCTATTTTGTGAGTTGTTTTGGATACATGTTCATCTCATGTTTATAGTTGTTATGTAGTCACAATTGATTGATCAGTGGGTGGCGATCAGTGTCATGCGTGTCTAGTCCTTATTGGTGCAGATCGAATGCTATCGACCATGTTGCGATGTGACCACCAGTCTAGGTGACTCGACATTGTGGGCACTATATATTGAGATTAGATGGTGGTTGGAGGTAGTCGACAGGAAACCCTGGACCCGGGTTTCGTGCTACTTGGAACTCGTCAGCAAGGTGTACCTGTGATCTTGAGGGAACTGGTGTTCCCTGGCGGATTCGATCTCGTGTCACCCAGCCCCACAGTCAGAGACGTCACCACTGAGCTATCCGAGCCGTGACTGACCTCCTGTAGGACTGAGATGTAATCACAATTAATTGATTACTAGGTGGCGATCAATGTCATCCTTGTCTAGTCCTTATTAGTGCAGATCGAATGCTATCGACTACCTTCAACCATTATCTAATCTCAATGGTTGTTATGTGGATAATTATCTTTCATATATCTCTTTCAGGTATTGTTTTCACTTTTCTTACCTTTCGAATATAAATTAACTTTATTTATTAACTGAAAACGTTATTGAACATTTGAAATCATTATTAATAATGTAGTAATTTCTATCTTACTATAAACAACTAATATTTAAACTAATTATAAATTCAATTGTAAAACCCTAATAAATGAAATGATTAGAGTGAAAATTTCCTTCATTGAATTGATTTTATTCCTTTTTTAATAATAATAATTACATATTTATTTAATCAATAGTTTGAAGAATTTCTCCACTTTTAATCGTTCAATAAATCTACTTTTAAACGAAAATCATTATTGCAATTAAGTGTCATTGATTAATTTAATTGATCTATTCATTTTGTAATTTGTTTATGAACATTTTATTAAATTATTTAATCATACATTTAATTGTTTTTTTTCACTAAAATATATCGATTTATGCCAATTTATTTATTATTATCAGGAGAGGTTTTGTGGAGAGTTTAGTAATTTCAGTAGTTGAAATTATGAGTCAATTGAAGCGAGATCACCATGGAAAACCTGGAAGCATTGGATGGCCGTTTCGTTCTAGTATGGGACTCCTCAGCAATGCGCACCCACGATACCGCACCCCAAGAGATTCGAACACAGGACTTATCGGTATCACGCGCGAGCGCTTAACCATTAGACCACTGAACTGGCCGGCATCCAACGGTATTAATGTCTAACTTCAACCAATCTACGAAATTGCGCCACCGTACACCATTGTCTTCAGTGAGTTGATATCTCACAACAGACGTGGTTGAACTCCACTGGTGACGGCTTCTCACTAGAACTCTTGAAGTCAGTCACTAGTGAGCAGATGATTATTATCAGAAGGGGTTTTGTGGAGATTTCAGTCCAGTACTTCCAGGTTGGTCTAGCTTCAAATGAATCATGATTTCAACTATTGAAATTATTTACTATTTTTAATTGTTAATAGTATTATTGATCATACTTAATGTAGATAGTCATTATCATTTGAACTCACCAGACCGGTGAAAGTTGACTGCAAATTATGTTATTGTGTAAAAAAGAATAAGCTAAAAAATAATCTTAGTAACTATAATTTAAGTAGTTTCAATGTTTCTTCACCCCCTCCATTTGGGTTGAATACATGAAGTTTAGAGCATGTGAATGTCTAAGTATAGCACTTTTCTACAGCAAATGATAATCATGTGCAATGAATGAACCGGAGTTTTTATCATAAACTAAACTTCTGTAAAATATTCTCTGAATACTTTTAAGTTAGATTTTCTTTCTACTATAATTTTTCTAAATCTCAAAGGTTGACACTTGATTTAATGACACATTCTCACAGAATCGAGTCATAGATAATTTGAAAATAGTTAATAATACTATGAATATAAGTACTGGATTCGAACTGCTGACCTGGTAGTTGGAATTCAGACTTCTTGACCCTGGACACTTAAATCTATTACGAAACATCACCTTCTTAAGGTTTACCATTGATATTTCTGACGTTCAGTATAAGAGTAATAGAAATTGTGATGGAGTTTTGTTCTCTGAGCTCAGAGAACAAACTCCATCAAAATCATCCACCTGAGCTACAAATCTTCTCCACCATCTCAATAGAAATTGTTGAATATTATAGTAATGACTTTGATCATGAAATAAAACTTAATATTATTGGTGTTTCTTTGTTTTTATTTCTAAAATAATTAATAATTTCTATCATAAAAGTGCTCTTCAAAAGCATCTAATATTTGATGATAGATCATCAACATTTATTAAAAAAATTACTCTTCTGATTTCTCAACTGTCAGCTTGTGTTCCACTATTAATTGTTAAAACGTAAAATCTGCCTAAAGACAACTTATGTTTATACATAATTACATAAAGAAGGTTGCTAAGCAATAATATTTTTCTACAATATATATTATCTTGAGTTAATGTCCTTAATATTGTTTAAAACTGTCTCTTGTTTAAGTTTCTTCATACTATCTGTATGTCTTACATCTAAAATTTGTTTTTAGTAAACCGATTATAATAACCAACCAATCAAATCAAGCTGTGGTAGTATTACATTGACCAATCAAATGACAGAAACAGAATCATTTAAATTTCTGCGAAATAGGATGAATATATAACAAGTGAATTAACATTTAATATACTATGCATTATTCAGGAATAATTTGACTTCTTTTGAGTTCATATTATTCTTATAACTAATGTTATTAACTCGGAATTTATTAACAAATGGATATGTAACAACTTCAGATTACCTATTTTGAGTATATTTAATAACCAAATGAGAAAAGCTCTTTTTTACTTTTATTTCATATATGATGGCTGGTTCACGTAGAGGATTAGTAGCTCCACAAAATATATTTCTTGAAACTGTTTTAAGACGATTTAGTACACCACGTAAGTTTTAGAATTCTACTTAACATAAACTAATATTAAACTACGCTTAATATTTTATATGTAATATAACTCTTGTATAGCTAAGTTTATATAGAAGTACTTTTGTTTAGTCAAATCAGGTTAAGTAAAGAAAGGAGATAATTTAAAGAAGGAATACAATTTAAAACCTTTATAAACAGTTGAGTAAAATTTATTCAGATACTTTGCACTATTAAGTAGAGATATTCTCATTATTTCAGTAGTTTGAGATTATTTACTATTACATCATATTCATGATAATTTACCTATAAAGTACTGTGTCTTGACGATAACTTATATCGTCGTTTGAGCACAGCTCAGAAATTATTAAAAATCAGTGTTCTTTGTAGGTTTATATCCTATATTATGAGTCAGTATTGTTGTACATTAACACTAAGTTTAAAACTTTCATTTCCCATGTATATATCTCCAAAACTACCTAATTCCACCATACATTTAACGTATTGCTTCGAAAAACTGCCGTGAATGTACGTTTATGTTTTTAACAAAAGAGTAGGACAGAACTAGAGCAACTTATACGTAGTTTAACATAGATAGGAATCCATAAGTATTATTTTCAAATCATTAACGAAAATACAAACCCCCTTTGTGTATTGAAAAACAATTTGTTCACACCTTAAACCTACCGTGGTAATATTACCTTATTATCCAGAGTGATGAGATTCTAAATTATTTTCACAATATTTTCTTTATTATCCTTGTCTCCTTTTACCCCCAATTTTTAGTCTAGTTGACCTTTTATTTTTATATACAAATGTTCTTAACAAGTGTATGTGTGATCAGACTATTCGAAATGCATTGAGTTAATATATCACATAGTTCTGATAATAATCGTCTTCTTATTGCACTATCAAATGCTTCAAAATAAAATTGATTTTATATCACTTTTTTTCCGTTCCAAATGGTCAAGCTTCATCAGGTGCTTTTATGTTTATATATCTCATTATCTCTAATGACTGTAATTACCAACGTTACCTCGTAGAATTAAATAGTTGACATTTTACCATTTTAATAGTTAATATACTCTCATACGTTTTTAAACAATTTTTCCATGGTTTGTCAATCAACTATTAAAAAAAAACATTTTGAAAGTTACTATTTTGATCAATAAAATTGGTGTTTTTAAAATATAGACACATTTATTTCTGGATTTGAGGCCTTGACAAATCCTTCTATTACTTTATTTATAAACAAGTTTACTCTGTTTTATGTGACAAACACACAACCCAATTTATGTGACCTTAAAACGTGTGATAACATATCGTTAATGCCTAGTATAAATAATACATTTAACATATTTCGGATATTGCTTTGTTTTTGAATATTATATGGGTTTTGTTAGATCTATCTTATAAACACACTGTAAATAAGATAATGAACTTAATTTATATGCAAACTAAAGCGATATGTTTAAGTGAACAATATTGTTTCAAATTAAACCTTCATTTGGGCTCTCTCCAATATACAGTAATATTTGCATCTATATTATGACAAATCACGGCAACTACGGCAATTTATGAGTTAATGATGATTATGGAGTAAATAATGATAGTAGTGATAATAAACAATTAGCACAAATTGATAGATGAAAAATGTAATTGTAATAATAATAATAACAACAATAAATAGCATGATAAAATGAACAAATATTTCAACATACGATGCATTATTTGTCGATTGTTGCCCAGTTTAACATTGTTAGTTTATTATTATTCAAGAAAAGTTTTCTAAAAACATTACTTACTTGCGCCTGTTACTCCTCGTGAAGGAACATAGGCCGCCCACCAGCATTCGTCATCCAACCCTGTCCAAAGCAATCCTTTCCAGCTTCTTGCAGTTGTTATGCATCCTTTTCATATCTGCTTCTATTATCCGACGTAATGTGTTCTTTGGTTTTCCTCTTTTCCGCCTTCCTTCAGGATTCCAGGTTAGGGCTTGCCTCGTGATGCAGTTTGACGATTTGAGTAGTGTATGTCCTATCTATTCCCATCGTGTTTTCCTAATTTCCTCTTCAGCTGGAAGCTGGTTTGTTCTCTTCCACAAAAGACTGTTGCTGATGGTATCCGGCCAATGGATGTTGAGTATCTTGCGTAGACAACCGTTTATAAATACGTGTACCTTCTTGATGGTGGATGTTGTAGTTCTCCAAGTTTCAGCTCCGTACAGTAGAACTGCCTTGATGTTCGTATGAAGATTCTCACTTTGATATTGGTTGAAAGTTGTTTTGAGTTCCATATGTTCTTCAATTGTAGGAATGCGACCCTTGCTTTGCCGATCCTCGCCTTTACGTCTGCATCTGAACCTCCTTGTTCATCGATGATGCTTCCTAGGTATGTGAAGGATTCTACATCTTCCAGAGTTTCGCAATCAAGAGTGATTGGATTGCTGTTCTCCGTTTTGAATTCGAGAACCTTGGTTTTCCCCTTGTGTATATTGAGGCCTACTGATGCAGAGACCACTGCTAGACTGACTGTCTTTATCTGCATTTGTTCATGTGTATGCGATAAGAGGGCCAGGTCATCTGCGAAGTCCAAATCATCTAATTGATTCTGAGATATCCATTGTATTCTGCGTTTTCCTCAGATGTCGAGGTCTTCATAATCCAGTCGACCACCAGAAGAAAGAGGAAGGGAGAGAGTAGACAGCCTTGTTTGACTCCGGTACTCATTTGCAATGCATCTGTCATCTGTCCTCCATGCACGAACTTGCACTGTAGTCCGTCATATGAGTTCCGGATGATATTGACAATCTTCTGAGGAACTCCGTAGTGTCGAAGAAGTTTCCATAATGTCCTCCTATCTACACTGTCAAATGCCTTTTCATAATCAATGAAGTTGATGTACAGTGACGAGTTCCACTCAAATGATTGTTCGACGATGATCCGTAGTGTCGCAATTTGGTCTGTGCACGACCGATTCTAACGGAATCCAGCTTGTTGATCTCGATGTTGGGCGTCTAGTGCATCCTTCATCCGGTTCAGCAAAACTCTGTTAAAGAATTTCCTGGTATTGACAGTAGTGTGATTACTCTGTAGTTTTCAAGTTTTCTCAGATCTCCTTTCTTTGGAATCTTGATGAGGTGTCCTTCTTTCCAGTCCATCGGCACTTGTTCCTCTCCCAAATAATTTTGAATAGAAGGTGAAGCATGTTCGTAGTTACTTCGATGTCTGACTTCAGTGCTTCAGCTGGTATGTTGTCGGGTCCTGCTGCTTTCCCGTTCTTGATTTGTCTGACGGCCATTCTGATTTCTTCCTTCGTTGGTGGGTTGACATCTATAGGAAGATCTGTGTGTGCTGCTTCGATGTCCGGTGGATTCATTGGAGCCGGCCTATTCAGGAGTTCACCGAAGTATTCTACCCATCTGTTCCGCTGTTGCTGAATTTCATTTATTGGCCTGCCTTCTTTGTCTTTGACCGGTCTCTTTGGTTTACTGTATTTCCCTGATAGTTTCTTCGTTGTATCGTGAAGCTGTTTCATATTTCCTTCTCTAGCAGCTTTTTCTGCCGTCGTTGCTAGTTCTTCCACGTGTTTATGCCTGTCAGCTCTAATTATCTTCTTCACTTGCTTGTTTGCTTCTATGTACTCAGCTTGTGCTTGGACTTTCTCTGTTCGTGTTCGGCTGTTGTCAATTGCTATCTTCTTGTTCTTCCTTTCTTTGATCTTGTCTAGAATTTCTACAGAGATCCACTCCTTATGATGGTGTTTCATTAGGCCTCATTTCCGTTGCTATTTTACTGGTCTTCCGGTTTCCCACATTGTTCGGACGTTCCATTTACCTATAAAAAGTTTTGCTCTGGTTGTTAGAAGGGGCATCGGCCTCGTGGCTTCCGAAGGAACTCGGCTTTCACCATGAAGCGTCATAATTCTTCTAAATGAAGACCTTCTAACTTTCAGGGCAGAGTTTAAATGGTTTGAATAAATTTTTCTGGTAAGCGTTTTTCTAGCGAGTTAGTTTTCTACGGGATGGGGACGCTAACCCCATGCCCAGCCCTCCTCCTTTATCCGGGCTTGGGACCGGCAGTAACTCTGGAAGAGCTACAGGCGGAGTTTTTCTAAAAACATGTCAAATTTTAATTTCTAGTAAAAACATGCAACACTTTTAATGCACTCATTGCAATTTTGGGGATTTTCGGAGACTGTAGTATTTTCAAAGTTGAATTCACGAGTCAATCGAAGCTGGGCTACGACTGAAAACCTGGAAACATTAGACGGCAGTTTTGTCCTAGTATAGAACTCAACTGTGCACACCCGTGATTCCGACACTAAAGGTCTTACGTTCGAGTTTCTCTTAAAGGATCGTGGATACGTACTTCTGAGGAGTCCCACACTAGGACAAAAAGGACGTCCAGTGATTTCAGACTTTCGAAGGTAGTCTACCTTAGATTAACTTGTTAATTCATTACAACAAAAAGTTGATATATTTTTACATTTTGAGATTATGAATGATACAATACATTTAACATTATAAAAAAGTTGACCTTATATTAAAAAAGAAACAAACACTGTAGACTTCTCCAGTAATCGAAAAAAAAGTATTTATATAGTGTAAGACCATCAGAATACATTCAACTGAATATCATAATCTTTCTATAATGATCCTTATTGTTTTAAAAGAATAGTTATTTATTGTAATTAATAATCTACTTAAGATTTTATAGAAGCTGTAAACGTATATAATAAAGAAGTTTGATTTATTATAAACATTACGATTTAATTTTCTCTCTATCACTTATTTAGGTGAAAAAAAACATAAGAAAGTAGGGCGTTTCACATTTAGACGATGAAGTTGATTTAGTATTATTTTTATTATCTAAATCGTCTGTAGAACTGAATGTAATCTGTATGTATGCATAGTAACTTAATAATAATAATAATAATAATAATAATAATAATAATAATAATAACACTAGTTTCGCAGATAAATCTATTTCTAATTAGATAATATCACTTCTTTTCTTGCTT